TGAAATTTAACAGATGATGTTGGATTTAAACTATTTTGTAGTGCCTAACAACATTGAAATTGTGGGAGGGGGTTTGTCTCAAATATTTTGTGGACGATGGAGAGCACAGAATGGGTCATACAGAAGCCCGATTTCTTGGTTTTTCCTATGATTTTCCAATAATTTTGACGTGACCGTAATTCGTCATCAAAATGGCCGGTACATGTTTGGTAGGCATTCAATCCCACTGATAATATTTAAAATGGTGGACGTCCAGGGGGCGCACTGGCTGGGACCTGGCAGCGACTGCTTCTGTTTACAGTATTTGACAAGTAACGAATCATGACGAATAGCGCTTACGCAGAAAACAATGCATCAGATGGACTTCAGTATAGTATTCTGAGTCATGAGGTTGATGGCATGCAACATGTACGCACTGCGTACCTATTTTTTATAATTCCTATGATTTGTTGTCCTATCTACCGCTTCACACCGTAATATTCCATCCGCCAGGAAGACAGAACACAGTGCATTCAAAAGAGATCACAGTGCATTCAAAAGAGATCACAGCACGTGCATTCATTTCGTATTTATAAAGATCAGGGGCCGGTTGTATAAAAAAGTGATTAAAGTTAACTATTGTTAAGTGCAAACGTCATCCAATAAGAAGCGCCTATTTGAGAGTTAATCACTAAGTATTTAACTACAAAATAGTGATTAAAAAAGTGATTAAGAGTTTTATACAACTGGCCCCAGGCTTTTAGCTGTCTAATGACATCTTTCACACCTTTATGGAATGGTTGAGATAAAAAATGAGCAAATCCGATCTGATTTATCAAAAGACTATTTCTATCAAGATATGATGATGGTGTGGAAACTGAACAGAAGTCATTGCAGTATGATGTCTGAGTTTATGTTCTCAATTTGTGTGCGGTCACGGTGATTGAGCTTATTGCATTTTTTTGTAATGAAGTAACCGTCCAATAGGGATAGCTGAGATGAAACGTGCAACTACGATGAATAATATTCAATGAGAGAAAGGATTTGTGCAGGGTGAGGTACAGTTCAACATCAAACAAAGATCTTCTATTTTGTAGCTTTGAAGTTCGCCGGGATTCCAGACCATCATATCTTGACAGACTGTGTTTAAAGATGCCGCAAAGTCCGTTCTGCGCATACGTTCTGCGCACGCCAACATTCCAATGATGGTCGGGCGAACACCGCGGAAAACGTCTGCGCATGCGTCAACCTTACCTGTAATAGTCTTGCGAACTTGATGAGAAGCTGTTCCGAAGGCTCAAAATGGCGGTAAAATTGAGGGGCTTCCTTGTGCGTCTTTACAGCCAGATTTCGAGCGCAAAAATAGACATGCCATTCTAAAAACTAGGAATAAATACAGCCAGAAGGTTCCAGAAATTGTATTGTACAAGAACATGAACTAAAGGTGATTGTTGACAAATTTATTGTCTGAAACATTTTGTTTATCAACTAAGCAACGACAATTTCCGAATTTTCGTTTGAGATACATTTGATTTCTTTAAAAAAAACTGTGTCGCCAAATATAAAAAATGTTCGTGTTCACAATAATTAAACTTTAGGATTTATTCTACAATTTGAGTGGGTTAAGAAGCTTAACTTTTCGAGAGTTTTCTTAACTTTTGAGTTTGAATTTTTGTTTTGAATAATTTTGCAGATATTTTCGAAGTCGTGTCCGTTAAAATCAACAATTTTTTACATGAATTATATTTCATTCCATACTTTAAATGCCAGGACGCTTTCAATTAATGTCTAGTCTACCCATTTGCTATATTTTCTCGTTTGTTTTACTAATTTTTGACCAATTCACCAATTAATAAGCATGTTTTTGTTTTAGAAATTGATATTCAAATTCCCCGCCATATTTTCATAATTTGGTGCATGCGCAGACGTTTTTCCGCGGTGTTGGCGGGACCTGACCATTGGAATGTTATTAATATTTCGCACCTTCCCAACTTTCTTGAATTGAATCTCTAGTCTGTATTCATTTACAAGCATTTAGCGAACCAGAAGAGTATTATTTTAAATTCAGTATTATAATAATAATATTTATCATATAAACATAAGTGTTATACAGAGTTTTTGGCCACTGAGAAAAATCGTATTTAAACACACGTAAAAAATACGATTTTTTTACGTGTGAAAATATCATTTGTTGTAAAACGCATTGCCACGGACGTTTTATTGTTTTTCACTGAATTTTGTTTATATAATAAACAGAAAAATACATGGGTGCTTGGAAATACCAGATTTATTTCTCGTGTTGAACATGATATCTCACTCGTTCGCTGCGAACCAGAAGAGTGTTAAAAGTTCAGTATTATAATAATAATATTTATTATATAAACATAAGTGTTATATAGAGTTTTTGGCCACTGAGAAAAATCGTAAAAAATACGATATTTTTACGTGTGAAAATATCATTTGTTGTAAAACGCATTGCCACGGACGTTTTATTGTTTTTCACTGAATTTTGTGTATATAATAAACAGAAAAATACATGGGTGCTTGGAAATACCACATTTATTTCTCGTGTTGAACATGATATCTCACTCGTTCGCTGCGCTCACTCGTGAGATATCATGTTCAACACTCGAAATAAATATGGTATTTCCGCGCTCCCACATGTATTATTCTTTATATATTTAATCATATTTTACAATTGTAGCACTGAGTTTAAAATGTAAACAAAGCGTTTGTTTACATCACCTTTAAAGTGTTGGTTGAATTCGCATTTTTCCACCTCGGGGATTTAAAGGATCCTCAAATTTTCGAACATTTGCCCAAATGTTTGTTCGGCCATTTGGGAAACGTATGCCATTGTGAGTCCAGTCTTGCAAGCTTCCACTGTTGTAAAATGTTTTAGCCATTCATTTCGATTTAAAAGTTTATCAAAACTTGATGCTTACACACGAGTTTTAAAGTGCCTATGACACGACATTTCACACCAAAGGTTTATGGTTGCATTGTAAAGATCACTTAAAATGACTTAATAATTTCTTTTATAGAATTTTGGTAACTTTCTTCCTTTTCAAGATATTCAACTTTGTTTCATATGCAAATATCACCGGTGTGACATCACATCACATAATGAGTTTTCAGAAAAGTATAGTTTTCTTGACGAATACGTATCTAAAAAACTTTAAAATTGCCCTTGTATATGTATTCTTGTATTCTTTTTTATGCATGTGTTGACGAAGGATGTTCTGCTAAAACTGCTTCTCTGACCATAGCACGTGAGAAACAAACTGAAAATCCACTCCATTTAAGGTCGTTCTAAGTTGAAAACAATGTTAGTCGTGACGTAATTACCGGAAAGGTCTATTAGCCTTTCTCACGCAGGTCTAAATCCGCCATTTTTGGGTACTATTTTTATAAACAACGTGAAAAATCTGAGCGATGTGAAAATAATTTTTCAAATATTTAATTGTAAATCGATTTATAATGATTATACTTACAACTATAGTTATAGGAAGTTTCATTTTCACTGATTACTATGCTTGTTCTAAAAAGGTTGCCACCCAAAAGTGGCGGCATGAGAAAGGCTAATTGATCCTAGAAGTTCTCCAGAAATCTAGAAGTGCTCACGTCACGCAATTTTCAATCCATCTGAATATTGGATACATGTAAATATTCATTGTTTGACAGTGACGTCACGTAAGGACATCTTCTCAGCTTGCTTAGTCAATTGGCATTATATTTACTACATATAGTCAAAAACTGGTATGCACATTGTCTTCTTGTCCAATGACATTTTTTAATTAAAAAACAATCTTTAGTTTTTCGTTTAAAACAGTCAGGGGCATCGTGAGGACATCAACATTGAGGGGACGTCATGTTTTGACCAACTTTTCCTAGAATTTTGACCAAGTAGTAGAAAAGTTTCCCGAAAATGTTGTCGACGGGGGGGGGGGGTTGTCAAAAAAAATTCCGGACTAAAATAAGCAAAGCTTCAAATATTTTTCGACCAAAATAAGCAAGGCTTGCATTAATTGTTTCCGCGCAAACATGACCAAAGCTTAGAAATTGTTAAAATAGCGAACCATTTCATAACTTTGACCATCTTTTATCTCAAACTTTGACCAAATTTTACCAACTTTGAGCAAAGCAAATATTAGTTCCATTTTGACTAACTTTGGCCGTTTTGAATTATTGGGGTGTGTTACACCCCCCCCCCCCCGCCCTGTAGCGACGTCCCTGAAAACAGTCATCTCTATTCACAGTAATATTTTAAATTACCTTGTGTATTAGCATGAAGATGGTCTTCCCAGTCTTGTCAGATTCCTCGGTGAAATGAATAAATTTATTTAGGAAAGAGTTTTGATTAAATAATCGTTAAATGTAACTAGGAGCATTATTGCTTGAAATCTGCCAAAACGTCAAGAGGTCTTCCATTTAAAAACCTTTCTTATAATTATAGATTATCAGTTTTGCACGAACTTAAGATATTGATCAGCAAATTCTTTTTTAAACAAGCTAATTCTGCTTGTTATCTTCGGTGTCTACCACCAACATACAATATCGAACAGCTCATTATCCATAGGAAGTGGACACTCAGTTTCGAGGCATTAAAACTGAAATTTATAACATTTGTGCAGATTGTTTCAAGTATTAATAATTTAATATAATTTCAAGATGGAATATGCGTAGAAAAATTCTCCAATGTTGAGTGGCAGTGTTCTATATTTAATTCATTTTACTCGATTCTGATTGGTTAAAGATAGCAGAATTTTCTTTTAATCGGTGTAACTGTGCGATTTTATAGGAAAAAAATTAAAAATTACATAGTTTGCAATTAATTTTTAATTGTACGCTCTCCTACTCCCGCGAGAATTGTGAACAAAACTTTAAACAAAAACAACGTGAAGATTTATTGTGTTTCTGCATGTCTGAACTGTTATATTTCATAACTAAGAAAAACTGAGATGAAATATAACAATTTTTCCACAGGACCGATTTGAAAATTAACGTCGGAGATTACTCTTCTAGAGTACATTGCTGCGTTCCTTCGAGGAGAAAAATATGCTGTATTTCTTGTCATTGAGTACTCGCAAAACTGACTAAAATGCTATTGATCAAATTAAAAGGTGAAAGGGAAATTACACTTGTTCTCGAAGTAGTGAATGAAAGGTCTCAGTCGTGTTTGGCGAAATATCTACAACACCGCGAGCACAAGCTTTTGGAACCGCGTATACTATCCAACTGCTTGAAAAATATTTCAAGCAGATAATGTGAGGCTGCGTTAAGCCTAGGTCACACTACACAACGATAACGATACGATAACTTGTATACGCACGCTGATTGGTCAAAAATTTATCGTTATCGTCCGACTGAAAAAAAAATCGCTCAGGTGAGCGATTTTAAAATCGTTATCGTTATCGTCAAACGATAATTTTATCATTTTCGTTGTTGTGTGGACACTAACACAATTTTTTTGCCAATTATCGCGTGTTTACAATTTATCGTATCGTTATCGTTGTGTAGTGTGACCGGGCCTTTAAGAGAGGCATATGAATGTAATAACAACAAGGTTGACTATAACATGGTGTAGAAATGCACCGCACAAAAGAGAAAGCATGAATGCTGCTGTATGAGAAGTGAAATAACATGACGAGAATATGACATATGGCGGTGGTAAGCCATTATTACTTTCGCAAGGAACGAAGAACATGATACACTTCTGGAATGTGCATATCACCTTCCTGCCTCGTTTGGTGATTGAAATCATCTTCTTATTAGACAGCCATATTTACGAAACCATTCAGTTATATATAATTACAGGAAAGCATTTTAAATTTCAATTATTATTAATGGTTTCTAAAGATTTACCATGTATATATCAATGTAAAGACTAAACTCTTACCACTATTGGTTATTATAGATTTCCCATATGGTAAATTGATAAAAACCCATGGTAAATATTAAACATGGTGGTTTTCACTAATTCACCATATAGGAAATCTATAATAACCAATAATGGATGGCAAGAGTTCAGTTTTTACATTAAAAAATCTATTGATGGACAATTTTCCCTGTGAATGGAGGCTGCATTAAGGTTAACTCCAACAGGTGACATTGTGCTTAAATTGTGACAATGACATAGAGATTGGAGAATAATAAAGTAGTTTGTACAAATGTGACAATGACGTAAAGCGACATGGCAATGTTCTAACATTCCGACTTTACTTGTTTTACAAACTGGTTGAGCAACCAGTGCCGGATTAACCATATGGCAGAAGTGGAATATCCAAGTTGAATGATTATGCCGATAATATTCTAATAATTTGTGGGGGGGGGGAGGTCAAGGGGCCCCGCACTGATAATATGCCACGGGCCCCGCGAAACGTTAATCCATCCCTGTGAGCAACTTGAATACATTGATGCATTGCCGCCTATCGTGAATAAAATTCCGACCAATCAGCTCCAAGAATAATGAAAGCAGTACTGAGCACGAACTTTTTATTTTCAGGTGAAGCCAGCATCATATTTGATCCACCATCACCACCGATACAGTATGTATTTAATGTTGGTGAAGTTCGCCTTGCGTGGCATTATAAAGTAAGTTTTATGTTTTGTATGCAACATTAGCCTGGTTGCACACGATTTAGTCGGCGATTAAAATTAATGAAATCCTGGCGTGTGCATGCAGTGTCATTTTTAAGCGATTTTGGGAATATCACAATAATTTGATTTTAATCTTGTCCGATTAAAATCGGCAAACTAAAATCGTATAGTGTGCGCCAGGCTTTAGAAAGATTTGTGATATGTACGCATTGGATGTCAGCGAAATTCACCTTTGTACTATAAAGTGAGTTTTGAGGGCCTATAAAAGAGTTTAAATTATGGGAAGCTAGAGTATATTCATGATATTGATTGTTAATGTTCATGCAGCTGTATTTTAGTACTGTTTGATACTAGAAGTTTCGTCATTTGTATTATAGACAAGTGGAATTTCCAGCATGCCAACTGCGAAACTCTCTGCTGAAATAAAGGGAAACTACGAACAAATTTTAATACTTATTGGCAAAAGGGCTATTTATCCTGATTCCCCGTACAAAGGTAGACTAACAGGATGGAGAAATATGTCTTTTGCATTAATAATAATAAAGAATCTAACTTCTGATGATTTTACAAACTACAAAATAACTGTTGGGGATACTTCTCTACAACATGATGTGGAGTCTGTCAAATCTCTTCAAACAGGAGGCAAGATATTTTTAATATAAAATCATAGGGCGTTTTCCAATCAAATATACAGACGAGCAGCCCGTTATAATTCTTTGTTTGCAATGACGTAATTTTGAGATTTCAGTTGCATGACGGGCAGGTGTAACAAAAACCGGCTATTTTAATGTATTTTTCGAATTCAGAGACGGTTTAAGACTCAAAAGATGAATTACCGTTCAGTTTTTCTTGCTACAACCATTCTGATAGGAGAAAAATCATCCACAATTTGTTTGATTGCCCATCATTTGGAGAAAAGTCACGTGATTGCGAATTTGCGACCCGTCCTTAGCCGTATTGAAATTTATTGAAAGTAAATGTCATACGAAGCTCGTCTTAGAAAGCTTGGCTGTAAGGCGGGCGTCCACTGTATAAACAACTTTGCCAATGTTTACTGTAACAAGTACACTTGTTGAAAACCTAGTATGCTTTATTACTTTTGAACTGTATAGATGGGTCTGAAAAATACAAATAAAACCTCGACGTTTCGAGCGAAGGCTCTTCGTGGGAAAGTTAGTAGACGAAGGGCCTCGCTGGAAACGTCGAAGTATTACTTGTATTTTTCGTGTAGTTGAATCCCTATGCATCTACAGTTTTTGTCACTATACCTACGCTGGCACAGACCGTTACAATTTGACAATTTATTAATTCTTTCTGCGTATTTTCACCGTATGTACACGAATTATTTTTTAATTTGAACATAGTGAAACCGACAAAGCCAAAAATAACGTGTGTTGGAGAACAAGGAATGGTTTTCAATATAACAGTAAGAGAAGGTGACGATCTAGAGTGTTCATGTTTTTCCGAAGGATCACCTTCGCCAACTATTCTGTGGGCGTTACTCATGGAGGGAAAAGTAATGGATCTATATTGAAGAAAGAGAAAATATCAAGAAATGAAACAAATATATACACATGTGTTGCAAACAATCAGTATGGATTTCACAATCAATCTGTTCTTGATGTCAAAGTTCAACGTAAGTTAGGTACTAGGTAGGCACACTTGCAGGCTGATGTAAGTAGGGGGTACATACTTGGGTAGTCGGGATATAGGTAAGAGTAGATATAGGTAAAGGTGGGTGAACTGTAGATGGGTGTAGGAGTTAAACCACAGGGAAATACAAGTAAAGCTTCGATGTTTCGAGCGAAGGTCCTTCATCGGGAAGTTAGTGACAAGACTATAGTCCCAATTGCCACTCAATCCATTTACAATTAATTTACAGAATCTTTGCTGTGTTTAATGCATGGGCAAAATATTACATTAGTATAGAAACACATTTCTGTTTCAAATGTAAAACGACGTGAATTACTGTGTCAGTGTGTGAGGTATCTATGTAACATTTATCTCATTGCAGACCCACCGAGTCTTTTTCGAGTTACTTCATCAAGTGAAAGTTCATATATTGGTCAGATGGTAACATTCACCTGTACTGGAGATGGTGATCCAGTACCAGTGTACTCCTGGAAGACACCAGATAACCATACTTCAACTGGTAATAATACTTTGGTTGTACTGTTACACAGTTCTCGTCAGTTTGGCATGTATACGTGTATCACAAGTAATCTACATGGACACACTACCAGGAATATAACACTGAAACAATTATGTAAGTAACACGTAAGGCGGTCAACGTGTCGCGCACTATTTATAAGTAAACGCATGCTTTGAGGGAAATTAATGATTAAATGTCCCCGCAAACCAAGGGAGGTTTAGTAAACCTCCCGAGGTTTGCGGGGTCATTTAGTCACTAATTTCCCCGTTTCCCGGGGAAATTTAGAAGACAAAAGCGTATGCATGGTTAATGAGGGAAATACGTGATTAAACGTCCCTGTTGAAACAAAAGAAACCGAGGCTACCATGTGTTTATTAAATATAATATCATAGTTGCCTCGAAATCCTTTGTCTCGCGAGACAATTAATTTTCCCCTGCATGCTTGATGAGGGAAATTTAGAAGACAAAAGCGTACCTCATTACCTCTGATTGGAGAGCTGTACCTCATCGAAAATCATCGGCACAACTATGGGGCATGTAGTAAAACATGGACTGGACTCATTAGTAAAACATGGACTGGACCCGATTAGTAAAACATGGACTCTATTAGTAAAACATGGACTCTATTAGTAAAACATGGACTCGATTAGTAAAACATGGACTCGATTAGTAAAACATGGACTCGATTAGTAAAACATGGACTCGATTAGTAAAACATGGACTCGATTAGTGAAACATGGACTCGATTAGTGAAACATGGACTCGATTAGTAAAACATGGACTCGATTAGTAAAACATGGACTCGATTAGTAAAACATGGACTCGATTAGTGAAACATGGACTCGATTAGTAAAACATGGACTCGATTAGTAAAACATGGACTCGATTAGTAAAACATGGACTCGATTAGTAAAACATGGACTCGATTAGTGAAACATGGACTCGATTAGTAAAACATGGACTCGATTAGTAAAACATGGACTCGATTAGTAAAACATGGAATCGATTAGTAAAACATGGACCCGATTAGTAAAACATGGACTCTATTAGTAAAACATGGACTCCATTAGTAAAACATGGACTCTATTAGTAAAATATGGACTCGATTAGTAAAACATGGACTCGATTAGTAAAACATGGACTCGATTAGTAAAACATGGACTCGATCAGGGACGCCGGAACGATAATAAGGCAAAGGGGGGCGGACGCACACCAAGGGCACCTCTATATATAGCAAAACTTCAAAATCTACCGGAAAATTTTTTTTCAATGGA